GATCTGACCTTGCTTTGTTGTTGCTATTGTTGAATGCCATTGAGTCCTTCTTTTAGTGACCCTGCATAATAGGATTTCCAAGGATCAGTTAGTGAGTTTGAAACAAATGGACCTTGAGGCCCAGTGCTTATTCTACAGCACCACACCAAGAATTTGCATTATTGTTGTTGTCATTGTTAAGTGCCATTGAGTCAGTTCTGACTTAGTATAGGATTTTCAAGGAGTAGCTGGTGAGTTTGAACCTCCAACCTCTTCAAAGTAGAGCTGACGCTGATGATGTGAATGGAGTAAAGCTTTCCTGACCTTCATTTGCTGATGGGGCGCACCTCAAAATGATGAGAAACACCTGCAAACAACCGTGAATAATTGAAACATGGAATGCATGAAGTAAAAATCTAGAAAAATTAGAAGTTATCAAAAATAAAAAGGAACACTAAAGATGGATATCCTAGGCTTTAGTGAGCTGGAATGGACTGGTATTGGCCATTTTGAACCTAACAATCACATGATTTTCTATTCCAGGAATGATAAATTGAAGAGGAATGGCATACCATTCATCATCAAAAAGGACATTTCAAGATCTATCTTGAAATACAACTCTGTGATAGGATAACATCCACAAACATACAAGGAAGACCCCACCACTCATCTGTCAGTTTGTCATACTGTGGTGGCTTGTGAGTTGCTGTGATTCTGGAAGCTATGTCATGGGTATTTTAAATACTAGTAGGGTCACCCATAGTGGACAGGTTTCAGATGAGCTTCCAGATGAAGACTGAAGAGACAAACAACTAGGAAGACGAAGAGACAAACAACTTCCGAATATTTAGTCACTGAAACCATTATGAACAGCAGTGGAACAATGTCAGATAGTACCAGAATATTGAAACATGATGAAGAGCACCAGAATATTGTCAGATAGAGCGCTAGAAGATGAGACAAGTCCCTCAGGTTGGAAGGCACTCAAAATATGGTGGAGAAGAGCTGCCTCCTCAAAGGAAAATTGTCCTTGGTGACATGAATGGAGTAAAGCCTTTGGGACCTTTATTTGTTGATGGGGCACAAGTTAAAATGAAGGGAAAAAGCTGTAAATATCAGAACATGGACTATATGAAATATGAATCTAGGAAAATTGGATATTGTCAAAAATAAAATGGAATGTAAAAACATCGATATCCTAGGCATTAGTGACCTTAAATTGACTGATATCGGGCTTTGTGAATTTGACAATGACATGGTTTATTTTATTATGCTGGGAATGACAAATTGAATGCCATCCCATTCATCACAAAAAAGAACATTTCGAGATCTATCTTGAAGTACAATGCTGTCTGTGA